TGTGTATATTTCTTACAAAATTCACTCGACTAATATAAGTTTCAAGACATTTCTCACAAAAATTTCAAGCAACAAAGATAGTATCAAATTATCAACAAAAATCAACAAATTTGGATTATGCTTTATTTTGTCTCCTGACCACTGCATATTGATTTGCTCAACTCTCCTCCACAGGAAGAAAGCAAACAAAAAATACAAAGCCACACACTACTAGTTTGCATGGTATCCCACACTTTGGCTTATTTAATCCATGATAAATCCAATGAGAAATTGGATCCAAGGAAACAAACCACACTGCTTGGACAACCACAAACCATCTTTTACAGAATCCTTGGCTGAATATGTTATTGCCGGCATCAGGGAGACTATGGGATGCAAGGGCTGGATACTATGATTGGGTCATCGAGGAGCGTCACATCCTCCCATGCCCAACCCATCCTTCTTCCTCGTGCAAAGACTTTGCTTTGTCGTGTGTTACTACACCCCCCAGCATGCAAATAAGCATGGTGGGAGTTGCATAGCAAAGAGCTACATCTGCCACCATGTCCTTCAGTGCCACTGCCAACGCCAAGATCATTCCATTCTCTCTTCTCCTGTTTATGGATTGAGAAAACGAGGGGGTGTGGGGGAAATTCAGTTGCCGAGTATATATTTTTTTATTTGGAAGGTCCCCACACATTGTGTATTCCTCTTAACCCCTTCTTTGTTTCGTTATAATTTTATGCAATAGTATCAGCCAGGAATCTCGACAAAGCAACCTACTACGGATTCATGTTAGCATACACATTATAAAAATAATTCTCAAATGCGCTAGTAACGATAAGCAACCTTCTAACTGAGAAACTGTAGCATCCCGTATATAAGGTCAAACCAACATTGCATTGCTCAGAATAACACATCACTCTTCATTCAAATGTACTCCATTTCATATGTTAGTTAATAGTTCAACATTACATAATGTCTTCTTGGGGAGTTGGTGCCGATGTCCAGGGAGTATTCCAAGTGAGAGCAAGCGAGAAGGTATTAGGGCAAGTGTCCACGGGTATCATAAATTTCTCTACATAATTTGGTATCAATTTTGGGGTTCCACATGATGTCATGGGTGTGAAAAGGCCTAATTGAGAAGGGGGTGCATTTGGTTTGCAGTTACGATTAGCACAAATTGGCATCTATATTAAAACTTTACGAATGGAACAAAGGAGATGAGAGAGTGGTGGATTTCAGCAACACTACCGAGCTTACAAAGTATGTATCTATGCATTTTTTCAAATTTGAGCCCATATCCTGTGGGTTGGCAAGGAGACTTGCTGCCTACTTTCAGACTCCTACAAACAAACACCATATAAGGAAAACCACTACAATATATAGTAAGGTTCACTCGTATTGCTACTAATAACGGTCCAGACTCCTACCCCTATAGGTTCTTCATGACATGTTACTGCCAGGAAACTTTTTTCCTACTTTCCAAATATGTTATGTGGCAGAAAGTAGGGCTTTTATGTCGATGCAACATATCTCGACACTTGATGTGGTGATGTTAGGACTTGACTTAAATCTATCAAAAGTAAGTTAGAAATGCATTTATGAGAGTTGCGAATGTTTTTCCAGTATTGAACATTTGAAATACATTCTAGAAACAATTTTAATTCAAATTCATTCAAATTGGTGTCAAAAACTTTATTTATTTAAGAAGCATTCCAGGGTCATTTTCACCGTTTCTAGAAATACCACAATTTTTTGCTCGAATTCAAAATTTAAGCGTATTTCAACAAGTATGCACTCATGATCTGGTCATGATTTCAAAACCATTTCAAGAGATATTTTCACTTGATTTCACCAAATGCATGTTACCATGATTCCTTGTATTTCAAGAAAAATTCACAAAATTTTAAATTTTAAATTTAGGCACCTCTTAGCTCAACTCCATAGATCCATTCTAGAATGATTTTAGACTATTTAGAGCATTTAATATTCATTTTAGATCCATTCAGTTATGATGTATGAAATTTCCAATGCATTTCCATATGAATTTTTTGATAGAATTCAAGAGTAACCTATTTCACTCGCATTTCATTTATTAGGTACATTCTGCATAAATTTTAGTGCCATTTCATACAGGTACTAAACAACGTCCACATACACACATCTCTACATACATCCCTCCTCACTATCGAAAACCGAACAACGGTTATTGGCTTTTTATTTACCTTTTTCAAAATTTCAAAGATACTAGACATGCATTTCACAATAAAACAATAATTACATTTGGTAAAATTATCGGTGTATATTTATCACAAAACTCATTGGACTAATATAAGTTTTAAGACTCACGAAAAGTTGAAGCGGCAAAGACACACTCTCAAATTATCAATAAAATCGACATATTTGGGCGATGTTTCAAATTTGTCCCATGGGAAATACAGATATCGACTTCCTTAACTCTTGTACACATGAAGAAACTAAACAAAAACAAAACACAACATCGCACATGACTTCATGCTATAAAATCCGAGAGAAATTGAATCCAAGGAAAAAGCACATACTACTTGGTGAACCACACATACATTTTCCGCATCATTCTAATTAGGATATTCTGCTGCCAGTTTAGCGAGGCTTTGAGATGGTGGAACCGGATGTTGTGACTGGACCGTTGTGGAGTGCCGCGTCCTCCTACGCCTAGCCCATCTCGCATCCTTGCGCTGCCATTGAGGTGCACCGCATCATCCTAGGCCCAACCCCGCCCACACCTCCTCGCACTGCCGTTGAGGAGTGCTGCATCATATTAAGCTCAGTCCCTCCCACCTCCTCGCGCTACTTTGTGCAATGACACATCATCCTAGGCCCAACCCCTCCCGCTTCCTCGTGCCGCCACCAAACTTCACCATGTGCTACCACACCCCCAATCATGGAAAGCCACACACTGGGGAGTCGTAGAGGAACGAGCCACCGCTTCCATCATGTCTTTAGGTAGCACTGCTCAACACTAAGTTCACACCGTAGTATACTCTCTCGTTAATGCATTGAGAAAATGAGGGGTGGGTCCACTAGACGAGTATATATATTTTGCTTTCAATGGGCCCCATGTATTCTAGAACAAATCATTACACCACAATGTCACACATAAATCTCCACAAGGCAAGCTACAACAGATTCATGTTGGTGTACATGTTATTCTTTTCTAAAAAGATCTAGTATTGATAACCAACCACCAAGTTGAGTAACTATAGCACCCTCCCCCCTCACCCCGCCCAAGCAGGTTAAAGACAACATCATGTTGCCCAATTTAGCACAATACTCTTCATTCGAATGTCACATGTGAGTTAACAGGCCAATGTTACACAATATTTTCTTTGTGTGCTGGCGCCGATGTCCTGGGAGGCTACCGAGTGAGAGCAAGAGAGAAGGCACCATGGGTAGTGCACATGGCTATCAGAAGTTTCTCCACATCACTTAATATCATGTTCGGGGTTCCACCCAATGTCATTGGTGTGAAAAATCCTAATTGGAAAGGGGGAGGGGGAAATATTTTGTGTGGCTGGAGTGGGAAGGTGAAGGAGTTACTACCGGACCTGGCCAAAAGATGTTACACCACACATTGGGCATTCCTATTAACCACCTTATGTATTCCCCAACAAATTACTACACCACAGTCTCATGCACAAATCTCCATGAAGCAACCTACGACGAGTTTGTGTTGTCGAACACGTTAGGAACAAAATATCAAAAGGGGTAGTACTAATAGGTATCCCTACCCCAAAGAGGTCAAGGCCAACATTGCATTACCCAATGTAACACAACATTCTTCATTCGAATTTTACCTGTGAGTTAATAGGTCAACAGTACACAATATATCCTTTGGGTGCTGGTGTCAATGTCCGGGGAGGCTTCTGAGTGAGAGCAAGAGAGAAGATATTAGGGATAGTGCTACCAATGGCTACCGGAAGTTTCTGTACATCACTTGGTATAAATTCGAGGGTTCCATCCGATATCATGGGTGTGAAAATCCTAAGTGCGGAAGGGGGGAGGGGCCGTATTTTATGCGTGGAGTTATGACTAGCGCAAACCGACACCTATATTTGTCGTTTGCAAATTGATGTAGTCAGTGTGGCCACAATCACCAACAATACGAACAAATAGCAAGGACAGGGGACGACAAATAAGTCTTAGTTAACCGATAGGAGAGGAGACAATGGTGGGTTTCTACAATTGGCTTACCGAGTTTACGCAACATGAAATTGTGCACTTTGTAGCACTTGAGCTCATCTCTTGGGGGACGGCTAGGGAGTATTGTTGAACCTAGCCAAAAGATGTTATTTATGGTCTTAGACAAATGGCTCGTGTAGGCACCCAAACATGCCCTTGCTCAAGATGGCCCACCACACCAAGGGCTACATGAACACCCACCATCTGCACAACCCATCTTATCACATTAGATCCTCCATGCCACCACAAAACGAGATGGATATCCTAGTCCCTCACACAAAGTCTCCTTTCCAAGGGGAGGAAGGGTCAACAATTTAGCTTTTCGTGAGGGAGTCTTGTTGAAGACTCAATGTCCAAATACCCAGACATCTTCATTATCTTTACAACAAACACAAATGTGTACGAGACAAAATAGACAACTCACCCAATGCTAATCACCGCATCCCCTAGAGCTATATATACCCACGGCAACGCAAACACAGATCACACATCTCCATACACCTTAACAATGCATGGTTTGTAGTACCAAATATTCCCCCATCCTCAACATTCATTAACAACCATATCCTAGCTTCATATATTGCCCAGAGCTTTTAGTCTAAATCATCCCATCCTCTATCATTCTTTCACGGCCATGCCTTAACTCCATATATTGTCCATAGTTTTTAGTCTAAATCATCCCCCATATCCTCAACATTCTTTCAAAACCATGGCCTAGCAACACATGATGTCCATGAGTTCCTAGTTTTTCATCAGTATTGTTCATCTGTTGGAGAGTTTGTTGTGCTTGATTAAGGATGACAACCATGGAAATGGACATGTATAAAATGGTGGTGCAGGAGAACGGCGAGGTCACATACCAGCTGACCGACCCGACGACATGGGGCGCGTGGGCGCACGAGGGACACCGATTGTGGGCGTCCATGCCAGAAGACTTCTGGCTATACGAGTACAAGGTGCGGATGTGCCCGCAGCCATACAGCCACGACTGGACGGCGTGCCCCTACGCGCACAAGGACGAACGCGCACGCCGCCGCGACCCGCGTCGCTTCAACTACATCTCCATCTCCTGCCCGGAGTACCGCGCCAATGCGCGTGCGCATGCGCAGCTCCGGCTTGCCGGTGCCGGGCACCCGCCGCCGACCTGCGCGCGCGGCCTCAGGTGCCGCTACGCGCATGGCGTATTCGAGCTGTGGCTGCACCCATCCCGGTTCCGCACACGCAAGTGTGATGCAGGCACGCGCTGCCAGCGCCAGATCTGCTTCTTTGCGCACTTCACCCGCGAGCTCAGGGTCGAGGACCCCATCGCCGCCTCCACCGCTGCAGCGGTGCCGTCTTCGTCCTTTGCCATGCCGCGGACGCCACCCCACATCCTCCAGTGCGCTCCTACCACTTCGGTGACGCGTCCGCAGGATGTTCCAGCTCCACAGCTGTTCGACGACATCACCCTGCAGGCCACTCCAAACAGGCTTCGCATGCTGAGCCTATACTATGCCATCACTGGGGACGATGTTTTCTCCTCCCCCATCGCCACTGCCACCGCCGCCGCCGTCGCCGCTGCTACGACCACCATGCCGACCATGAGGGTGCCCTTACTGGCGTACAAGGAGGAGGAGGACGCTAAATCCGTCCACTATGCGAACTACGAAGACTCCCTGCTGAACGACTACCCACACCGAGATCTCATCATGGACTTTATGCGCTAGGTATCCGAGGTATGACAAGGAATAAATCTCTGGATGGCAGGCCATGTCAATCCTGGAGCTCACCTGCAAAAAAGAGTCAATCCTAGAGCTAGTGTCATTGTGCGCATGACGGCTGCGACAGCGCGTGCATGCGTGTCTGTTGTGTCCGCGTTCAAGCAGTGGGTCCAAAAAGCCGTGTGCATGGTTCTTATTACATATTTATAATTTGCATGTCATGCATGGGCGCCAAGTGGCGGTAGTCGGTCCCTAGGAACGTCCCTATATGTGTATAGCGTACATGGTCATAAATAAGTGCCGTCTCCATGTGGAGATATATATATCCGATGGAGACTTACAATGCTATTGTTGATTATTGTAGTGTTATGTTATTGTTTTATCCGTCAGGCAAATGTGTAATGTTTCCCTAAGCACTTATTAACTTATATACAATTGTTTTGCGAACTAGATGCCTCCTCGGTTCCTTTTAGTTTGTCTGATAACTAAGGTGTATTTTTATCTGCATAAGGAATATCATGATGTTAGAAATGTGATTCATACGTGCCGCTTTGTCTGGTTGTGTTATGAGATACTAGCAAAAAGGCCCGTGCGTTGCAACGGGAGAAAAAAAATTCAGTCATATCTTCAGCTGGGTCAGTTAGACAAACTATGTGTGGCCGGTTGGCAGGTTATGACTCGACAATTTTATTTTTCTCCGACATGGCCCACAGTGCGCCGTCATATGGGCTTCCTCTGTTGGGTCAAAACGGGTGGCAAGTAACGAAACCAAATAGCTTACGTGAAATTAATTAAAGCAGGACCAAACGAAACGGGACGAAACCAAGAATATCACCACCTTTTAATAGTATGTATATCTATATGTATAGATGTATAGATAAGGAGCATGTATATGTTCAAGTGTTGTTATGTTAATAGGCAAAATGCCGGCATGGTTGTAGCCACAATAAGTAAAGACAAAAGAAGTTGGATTTTTTTTGTTAGTGGATATACAGCTTGGAGATCACTGCGGTGACATAAATTCTCCGATCCGGTCTGAGGAAGCACCGAGAATACTCAAACAAGAAGCCTTGGCCGCATGTTGCTGCAATCCAAAACCTCTAGTATAGTACTCCCTATTATTGATCTATACGCTTTTACTTTTGTTATCGGCAGATGCTTGAGACAAAGAGTATCGAGGCATGCACTCGTACGGAAATACCATTTTAAACTTGCGTTGAGATTCAGGTCTTTTTTAACGGGGTTATGGAAGCATTTTTCTTTTCTTGGTACATTTTCCTTTTGCTAATTCCAGGAGTACGACTGGATCAACTGGTCTACTTAATTGATGGGCTTAATTGATGGGGATGCAATCTAAATTGAGGGCATTTCTGATTAAGACTGCAAATTCTGTCTGTTACACACCAGCAAATATGCATATACTAGAGGCTATGTGCGTTTTGTTGCGTTGTTCTTCACTCATGGGATTAATTCTTCTTTCTCTAGTTGATTATTATGGTCGGTTGTTTCATTTTGGTTTTATCTACAGTGGGTTGGCTTTTAATTATTTTTCATTTGTATATCTTGTTGGGTCGTCGTTGTAAACGATATTTGTTTTGAGAGGAGACTAAAGTTGCTAGGTTTGTCGTGTAGGGTCCTTGCATGTTCCGGCCTTAGTGTCAGCCATTGATGGTTGTGTGACTTGGGAGCTCTAACACTCACATGGGACGGCCCATGAAGCTCCCACTCGCTCAACTCGGCTCCTTGCTCCACTCAGTTATTTAGTTTTTATTTTAGTTCACTTCTCTGCTAGCTCATAAGAAAAACCAGCTATCATATATTTTTATTTCAAGAGGTTCATTAAATCAAAGTAAGTTCATGTACCTTAAAAATGTTGTGGATTACAAAAAAACGATTTTTAAAAATGTTCTTGAATTACAAAATATTCGTGGATTTCAAACAATGATCACAAATTCAAAAGCTTAATGAATTAAATTTTTTTTCACAAACTTATGAATTTCAAACAATGAATTACAAAATGCGAACATTTGTTGAAAATCTGAAATGTTCCAAACTTAGGAACATTATGAAAACAGAACCATTTTTAAAAAAATTGAGAACATTTTATGAAAACACTAACATTTTTTCAAAGTTTTCAACATTGTTTTGAAAACACATTTTTTAAACCCCAAACATATTTACAAATTTATGAAGTATTTTGAATTATAATCATTTTGAAAATTTGCGCATTTTGAAAAAAGAAACAGAAAAAAGGAAATAAATGAAAAAAAGAAGAAAGAAGCAGAAAAGATAAAAACAAAAATAAAAAAGAAACAGAAAAGAAAAATGGAAAAATAACTAAATAAAACCAGCCACAAAAAACAGCAGGAAAAAAGAAAACCCGATTCGGGGAACCTTCGAGAAAGTTGCCAAAACCAGAGAAAACCATAGCTACGCTAACCGCTAACGGGCCGGCCAAGATCGCGTCGCTCGCTCTGTGCAAACCCTCAACATCTTGACGCAACGTGCATCATATAGAATTTTCCACTTGCAACGCGCGGCAAATAGGAAATTCCATTTAGGTATATGCGGAACAGGTTTCTAGGCTTTCACGGACCATAATGAGCTAGTTTTGGGCTTGGTGTACATACGCTACGGATCTATTGCCCGGGCCCTAAGTACATACACATTAGCAGTTAAGTACGTCCATTAGTGTTGCTATGGGTCTCCACTGTAGCAAGAGAAGAAAAAGAAAGACAACATTAGTCATAAGTGTTCCAGAGGCCATGCTAACGGTGCAGCCGAGAATGTCGCCAATGAAGGAGAGGCCACCTCCCCCGATTTTGGCCAGCAGATCCATCCCCGAGTGATGCTCGCCAAGATTCAAGTTTCAGTCCATGTACAAAAAAGTTCACCTCCAGCAAAATAATATCACACGAAGCGACTCTTCAAGGTTCTTCGCTTTTATTCGTTACCAGCCACGAGCACACAGGAAAAACAGAGCCCTTAAACTCAATCACATATAACACCAAGATATTCATGTGATCCACCCAAACGACCATTGCTGTCGTTTTCACGTGTTTCTCTGTCATCTAATCCGTGTTGGCAAACTTAGCAGTTCCCAATGCTTACTACCTCCGTCTCGATGAATAAGTCATTCGCGTAGTTCTAGATTGATGATTTAACTATCTAAATATGTATTATATGTGACAAAAAATATGTATTTAGAAACTACATCATTATAGAAATCTAGTGATATATACTTTTCATGACATATAACACATATTTAATTCCTTAAATCGATGACCTAGAACTACGCGAATGACTTATTCACCTAGACGGTGGTAGTATTATATTTCCACGTTTCTCAATCAACAGAAATATGTTAGGCGTTTAGCCTCACGCGCACGCATTGTGTTAGTTAACTAGAGTCCAGAGATGACCCGCACTTCACCGCACGGGTTGGGTTAGTTAACTAGACTCCAAAGGTGACCCGCACTGCGCCACATGCATTGGGTTAGTTAACTAGAGTCCAGAGATGACCTGCACTACACCGCACACGTTCGGTTAGTTAACTAGAGTCCAGAGGTGGCTTGCACTGCACCGCATGTGTTGCGTTAGTTAACTAGAGTCCAGGGTGACCCGCACCACACCACACAAGTAGCCGGAGCGGTTTGCCTCACATCGCACTAGTTGGTTAGTTAACCAGGGATCGATGACCCGCACTACACCGCTCCGCTCCGCACCGCACCGCACGCTCGCGGGCGGCATGCATGGACAGACCGACGAGGGAGCTGGTAGGTTTTGTCCTATTACCGAACCGAAATCTAAGTGACACCACAGCCAGATAGATGGAGGGACGTAATGCAAATCAATTACGAGGATGTCCATTAGTGCTTTAAGAAAAGTAGGTAGGTAGGTTGGCTTGTTGTATATGCAGATTTTGGCTTGAGGTGAGTCGGTTGGTTGGTAGGTATGCATTGTTTATGATCTGTTGTGGAGTGTGTGTTTGTGGTATCCCTATTCTTAGTGCAGTTGTATAACATTTGTTAGTATCCACACACACAAAAAACGTATTTACATGCTGATTCGTCGGCCGTAGTAAAATAATTTTTTATTTAAAATTGTTTCTTTTTAAGAAGGTATGTGTTTGCTATGTAGATGTTGTTTAAAATTTCATCATGAAAAGTGGACCCTAATAGAAAGGGACCGTGCCCTCTATATGTTCCTGGAGCAAATGAGTATGCACTTCAAGGGGCTCTTCGAGGGAATAGATCGTTCCTCAATAAACTACTCCCAGCGAACGCTCGAAGGGCCCTCCCATGCACATTGCTAACTCCTCTCCTCCTCCTTAACACCCTCTTTTGCCATCTCGCAAAAAACACCCTCTTTTGCCATGGTATCAGAGTGAAATTGCCATGCTATGGCAATATTATCAACATAATTTTTTTACCATGTTACCATGTGTGCAAAGATTGCCATGCTGCAACATAGAAGAACTGTTGTGCTACCTATTCGGTAATTGTCATGTTGGAAAGAAAGAGGATTGCCATGCCAAAAAAATTGAACATCCTACAACAGAAGAAAGTTGCCACAAAATGTCCATGATTTTCTACAACAGAGAAATTGTCATGTTGTTTTTAGGAATTTGCCATGTCGCGCTGCTACACATAGAAATTCCCATGCTTATGTAAAAATAATGTCACAGCTCAAAAAAATTGCATCATTTGCTTGGGCGGGGGTGGCGAAGCAAATAGGTGGCCCACGACAATTACTAGTTGTCACGCATTGAGATTCATCCGAGGAAATCATACGCGCCATAAGGACTAACGTTGTTTTTGGTAGAACTACCGTGGTGTTGTTTTTGTGCAGAAATAAAAGTTCTCGGAATTTGAAAAAACTTTTTGACGATTTTTTTGGAAGAAAGGAGAAATAGTGGAGCAAAGAACCACCAGAGGGCGCCCCCTGCTGCTCACAAGACACCAGGGCGTGCCAGCCCCCGTGGCGGGCCCTCCTAGGTGGTGGGC